CGTCTGGTTCAGCAAACGCCTAGAATCCGGCAAGCGCCGAGAAATGGCTGACCCCGGGACTCAGATTAGCGCAAACCGAGAACCCTCCCTGGCTATCCCCACGCAGGGTACTCGCAGCGGCTCTGGTCCATGGAATACCGAGAACCACTGACCGAGCCGGGTACAACCCGTGTACCGGACCGAGGAAAATGACCCAACACACGCTTAGCAACCCCCTCCAAGCCTAGTGGTGGAAAGAGGCTCATGCCCACGCAGGACAGAATGATACCCGCTCTTACCCAACACAGGAAATGGCCACGCAGAGGAAAGACATGATATACCACAAAAATGTGGCCCCAGGCATGCCTGCAGCCCGGGAGAATATCTGGTGCACTGGTGCTTGTGGTGCTACCGGTGCACCGAACTCAAGTTGCACATTTTAAATGTTTGAAATTTTTTGAGAAAAATGTAGCACATTCAGACAATATTAATGTAGATTTCACAAAATTTCAAGTGGAAAATCAAAACACAGCTACTAAAGCAAAAATGACAAATTCAATACTGAATAGTACATAACATAAGTTGGGCTTTAGATTTGGCCTATTATTACACTAATGTCAATTTTGTCATTTTTGTATCTCAAAAAATATTTCGAATTTTTATACGAAATTTTGTGACGATATACATTGGTGTTTTGTCAATGTGCTAGAATTTTTTCAGATTTTTTAAAATGATGTATGACATCCGGTGCACCGGTAGCACCATAAGTGTGGGTGCACCGGATACGTTTCCCCTGCAGCCCACCCGTCATGGACCCCAAGAACGTCGGCTGGGTGAGAAGTGCCCATGAAGATCGGACGTCAGGGGGCGCAAGGAGCCAGCGGCGCAAGACACGCGTGGATCGAACAGCGCAGGGGACACTCACGACCGAGGATGCCCTCAGGAGGCGAGTACTACAACATCTTTTATAGGAGTAAAGCGTCTCACATTACGGGACGGAGAGAGTACAAGATTAATAGGTGCGCTTCATGTTATAGTGTCTAGTATGACTGAGCGGAGCATACAATCATCCATTAAGTACAGTGGGAAGTGCTACCTGACGCCAAATTGACAGGAAACAAACTTCTGCAAACATAATGGATGCTGACTGGCATCCAACTGAAGCAAATATGCATCGTATGACCAAGTTAGTGGGATATTGCAGATACTGAAGTCTCTGTGGCTCCTCAAGGAGGTATCACTCGTTAGTTACTACTAGTGTTTCTTCATTCACATCAAATGCTTTCCTTGCTTGCTTGAGCTCTTCATTCATGGAGAGTAACTCAGTAGAGCGGTGCAATTTCCGCATATCCTACATAAACAAGTGAAGTGTGAATGCTTAGTTTTGGCGAACTCTGGTGGCACAAGTGAAGAGGAAATCACATACTCTTGTGAAATTCAGAAACATACCTTTCTGATAAGGTAAAGAAAATCCTCTGTCAAGAGCTTTCCCCTCTTTGAAGCCACATTCTCAGCCTTGTGGACCTGGGAAAAGGCTGGATTCACTCAGCTATGGAACCATTAACTATTCTTAAAAAAAACTATGGAATTATAAACAAACTTGCATAACTGGCTAAATATGCCGTGACTCTGGATTTCTTGGTTAAACATGAATGGATTGTGTTGAAAGTTGTGTCAGGTAGATGGTGCTCATTTGTCTACGCTACATTTATTCAAAATCACATTGACTCACTATCGTACAGTGCAAGATGCTTAATCAAGAAAATCAGTTACCTAATCGTATCTGTTTGCATCTAGCCAAAACTTCCTCAGTTTACTTAATGGACTCTAGTGAAAAGAAGAATAATGGTTCAACAGATCACGCAACCCTCCACAAAACCTTTCTATGTGCGAATAGTTTGTACTCCCTCTGTAAAGAAATATAAGAGCGTTTAGATCACTACTCGAGTAGTGATCTAAACGCTCTTATATTTCTTTATAGAGGGAGTATAATCTTAGCAGGCCAAACATAGGCAATTAGCGTCTGAGCCCGGGTCATCTGCACCCGATGAACAATAAATTCACAAAAGGAAAGAAAAAAGAAAAAAAATGCTGATTTTTTTTACATCAAAGATGCTCAGGTGCACAAGGAGTGTGCAAATTTTCATGGTGTTTGGACATTCCAGGACCTCTAGGCAAAAAGGGAAAAATCGGGTCCAAACAGTGTTCTTTTTCAAAGTTTCTTTCACAGATTTTTTTTTGCCACAAACTCCTTGAATGTCCAAAAATCACAAATTTTTGCACACACATCGCGCAATGGAGCATCTTGGATGCTAAAAACATCAGATTTTTTTGCTATTTTATTTGATTTACTGTTCACACCAAGGTGCAGATGCACTCGCCAAACAGAAATTGCATAGTTGTACAAATGCAAGAAAAACTTACGAGGTCAGTAACATATTCTACAACAATGTCCTCCACAAGTGCAACTGTTTCAGGAAGTGGCTGCAAAACCAGCGAAAAGATGAAGTCACTTGCATCTTAAGTGCAGAACGCCTAAGCTTTAGAATGAGAACGTGTTCATTTTACTGTCTTATTCCTTTTTGAGATCCTTGGTAGGAGCATTTCCTATTTATTTATTATGCAAAGAGTGAAAACAAATTATTACAAGGCATGTCAGGCTGCCCACACAGCAGTGCCGGAAAGAAATGAGAGGCAATAGATGCTAGCTGGCAAAAAACTATGGGTTTCTCTAGGACCTGCCCAACAGAAAGGCATCCGGTTAGGCCAAATGACCAGTAGCTACTCATGACCAAAATATTAGCAGTTCCTTCCACAGATTTAACATAACATAGATGAACAACATGCATAATTTATGAGGTTCCTTGTCGATTTGCATGAGACCACTATCCCCATATGAACTGACACTTGATAGGGATTGGTTGTTGTCTGCTTGCAAAGGCGTAAGCTAAACAACAACCAAAAATCATTGATAAACACAGTCTAAGAAAATGTGTACCGCTTCCAGTTATGTCCCTTTTACTTTATCTAAAGATATTTCAACCATTAAATATTAACATGGTAAACCCACGCCGTGTTTGCTACAATCCTTCTTGCAAAGTGTCAGTTATCACCCGTTGCATCCTGAATTTCTAAGTAGACAACACTGATTGCATTCTGTTCTACAGATTTCTTATCCGAAAAATAAAGAGAGAATTGGTCATGGATCAACTTACATTTGGATCGTCCCCAAACCCATACATCATGTGCTGCACTGCAAGAATACAAATAGAAGTAAACCATAAGTATGGAACTTAAGGAGAAAAATAAACAGAAAAGAACTCACAATTCAGAATGCCTTACGGTCTTTCTGGAAGACGCTACGCTTGCGCTTAAGGCTCGATGCAGCTGCATCAGCAACGCTGACGGAGTGTGGTTGGTGAGAAATGGACGCCTGGCCCGGTGCCAAGGCATGCGCTGAGGGCTTGGGCTTGCCCACCACAGGCATGGACGGGGAGGAGTGATGACAGTGGCCGGAGGCCCCTGCCGTGGCCGAGGACTTGGACTTGGCAGCCGCAGGCGTGGCTGGGGAGGGCTGATGGCTATGGCCCGAGGCCACTACCGCACCCTGCGCAGACGACTTGGACTTGCCCGGCGCTGCTGCGGCTGGAGCAGGATGATTGCCGCCAGGGTTCTGCATCCTACCGTCAGGGGGGTGGAACCGAGTGATGAAACAGGGACAGAGATTATTTCGGCTGGCTCTTGCTTCGGCGGATCACAGGGAACAAGGCAGGAGGTTTGCGGGTCAGCGATTTTTATGGTGGCCTCAGCCTGCGCAGTTGTATGGTGCAACCTGAAATCAGTTTGCAAACGACAGCAGCAGATAGGCAGAATTTTGGTGGCAGAATCACAATGTTTTTTATCTTGCCCATATAGACCACATTTTATCTATGGAAGTTTGCAATTTGCAAGAATTTATAAGCAAGCACCTAACACTCGGATGAACCATGCAATTAGAGGTGCGACACTAATCCAGCGCACCATCCAACATGTCAGCTCTATTTTATCTTGCCATATAGATAAGCTAGAGCATCATATGATGGGAGAAATATCGAATAAGAACTAACAAGTGGAGATCAGCAATCTGCAGTGAAATTCACGACAAAATTTGCTTGAGAGAAAAATAAGCACAACCAAAATAATGAGCTCATATCACTACCCAAGCCCCCAATATTTCTTTGAACTGGATGATGCCCCACATATTGCCGCAGGAACCACATTAAAAGAAATGCATTAAAAGGTGCTTAAAACAACTAAAGCTAATGGAAAACAAATGCAAGTGTGTTTGGGCTTTACATTTTTAAAACAATAAAACCTACAAAGTATCTGATTTTAACAAAGATATTTTTTTAATTGAACCTAACACAATGGCAAGCATGAATTATATATTTTGCTCCAACTTTCCATGACATATGCCATCCATGACCATGGTAAAATTAACGCAATAAAATTAACTTGTGACTCACATGCATTCATGACTTGATTCCCCCTATAAAAGACATGCGTAACCTGATTGGGTGGCATGGTTTGCATGGATGGATTAATGCAAAGAAGTAACATATGAGTACATGTCACACAATTTCGATCGGATGGCTATCAAATATTGAGGTGAATGTGCAGAGAAATATACTAGTGGAGGCTATCTATTTAGAAATAGAAGATTAACTATGCTACAATTTAACACCCTGCAATGATCATTCAACTGTTAAGTTGCATCAAAATAATGTATGGAGCGTAGCAAAACCAACAGTTCTAGCATGACTACCCTGTCAAATTCCCTTTATCAGCAGCACGGGAAGTTGGGTATATCCAAACAAAATCATGGAGCCATCGCTCGTATTTTAGAACACACACCAGCGAGCACGCGCATCATCCCACATATACGCCCCAGTGGCACTGTGGCAGCGTGCATCAAGAGAGCAGAACGAGGGAGGGGAGGAACTGAGATACCCCAATGAGGGAGAGGAGGCAAAGCAGGACGGGGGCGTCGCCTTCGGTAGCGGGACAGAAGCAGCTCGGGGTGGACAAGGCGATGTCTACGCGGGAAGAAGACGGGGCTGGCGGCGTTGTTCGTGACTTGTGCTTCGCCGGCCTCGGTGAGATCGGGGCGTCGGTGTCGGCGTTCGGGACGGAGGCGGG